AAATTAAAAAAGGAAAATGAAAGGTGTATTGGAAGCAAAGGGAAGGAAAACATGCCAGAGGGCCAATAAGCAGATAAAGTGAAAAATAAAGATCTCAAATGGAAAGTCCTGTCAGAGCCCAATGCAAATTGACTTGATCATATTTGGGCATAGAGACCATGGTGAAATGGGAGGATCTGGTTGATAAGGAGGGAACATTTATAACAATTAAAATGCCACAGTGCTGATAGAAAGTGACTGATGAAAACTTAGGGAGATATTAAGATTGCTTTGATGGAGGAAGGTCATTGAGCAATAAAGAAACTGCTTGGCTGGCCCTGATAGGTTAAAGCATAAGTGGGAGGAGTAAACAGAATAGAATTCTGCGTGGAAGAGGAAGTGTTGTCAGACTCTGCTCTGCTCCCAGAGAGGCTCGACAGCTCTGCTCTCTGGAACAGAGACACCATGCTCAGCTCTCCTGGGTAGACTCGACAGCTCTGCTCTGGAGCAGAGACACCATGCTCCACTCTCCCGATAGCTCTGCTCTCTGAGGCACACGCAATGAAGCTCTGACCCAACATGGACATAGGTTAGAATCTTCCCGGTAAGCGCACCTTGGGGTGCTTATACACATTACTAGAAATGGGCTAGTCCAGATGCGAGAGTTAGCTGAGAAGAGGCTAGATATAATAAGCAGTGTTTACATGAATACAATTTGTGTGTTGTTATTTCGGGGCATAAGCTAGCAGGCGGCTGGGGTGCTGGGGACGCAGCCCTGCCGCTTCCTATTTCAACATTGCTTGAACCCAGTGCCTTAACCAGCTCCTGATCAAGCAAAGTTTTTAAAAAAAATTTTCCATGTCTTTACCTTATGAGACATGATAAGATTAATGGGCACAAATCCTAGCTGTGATATCTTTTGCAAGTTTGTACAAGTGTTACAGCAGTTGTTTTACTTGGAAGATAGTGCTGTAATAACAGTACTTTATTTAAATAGTGAAAACTGCAAACATATAAATTAATATTACCCATGTGGACATTGTTAAACTATGTGGCTTTGTAAGTTATCAAGTAAACTTTACAGAAAACACAAGGCAGTCTTTATACCATAAATAGAGTAAGTGATCTATCATGTCAATGCATTTGGATATGAATAAGTATAAGAAGAAGATACACAAAAATACGGTGCTCCTCCATAAACTGAATGTAGTGGTTCACACAGAACACATGACTTGCTGTTGATTCCAGTGAATATTGGCTGGACCCAAAGAACTTGCTCTTCTTATACCCAGTACAAATTTGTCCAATAGGTTCAAGTTGTGCATTGGGAAAAGGAATAGGCAAACTTTCCATTAAGAAAGTAATCTTTATAATTGTATTTGGGGAATGATAGTAAACACCCATGAGAAAAGAAGATCAACTCATTAGAATTATCTAATTTGTCAATTTCTAACCTGAGACCCTGGATAGATTTCTGATGACCAACTGTTGATAGTTTGTAATGTCTTTTGGTAACTTTAGACTCTCTTAACCAGAAAGCACTGTGAACCTTTGTGAGTCAAGTGTTTGAGAAGTGTACTGAGCAAAGGGATCTCAGAGTCTGTTTTATCACCTGCAATGAGACTGAGATTGAGAAGTGGAGTTTGAAATCTTGGGGAAGGATTGCCCATTTCCTATCCTCACTTCATAATTTCCTTTGATTAATTCTGGATATTTAGTCGTTCAACATGGAGCAGCTACCTCAGTCTGGTATGTCATGGAAAAGGCAGTGCAAGTACCGGAATTTTCATGCCTTAAGCATGGCTCAGACACTTGACATCTCCCTATTATCTCCATTACCATTTCATATATGGTCATATTGTTATTTTGTTCCTGGTTCAGAGATTCAGGCCCAGATTTTCCACAGCTCTATTCATATTCCAAGATATTTATGATACCACCAGTCCTCAAGAGATTGATTTAGCACAAACCACACAAGCTTGGAGTGGTATTAGTAGTCCCATTAGCTGAATTTACTGAGCACACACAATGTGGACACTGCTCCATTCCAGACTCACATGATTCCAAAACTAAGGTGGAGATGTTTCCAGTTATCAGTAATTCACACAAGTTCATAGAGATGGAGACAAAGCATGTTTCAGAAAGGAGTCAGGTATTCTCAAGCACATTATCTTAATGTACAAATGGCCAATGGTATGCCATTGGAAGCCCAGAAGCAAACATTAGTATGCCTGATTCTGAGAACTATTTCAATTACCAATTCAGTAATAGCTTCTTGCAGAAACTTCAGAGAGGCAGTCACAATCACACACTTTCTAACCCAAAAGGGAAGAACCAGGTCACAAATACATTCATTATAGTTAAGTCTTCAGTGTTTGGATTCACCCATGTTTTTCTCAGCTCCATAGTATTTGGGCATCTATATTTCTCTGACTCCACCCTCCATACCAGGCATTGGCTGTCTGACTTCAGAGCCTGAGAGCTTAGCACCTTCTTTTTCTCCTGCTTCACAGTAGTGAGTGGTTTCTGCTGCATCTAATGCACCCCTGTCTATCTGTCCTGACAGAACTTCCTGTACAGAAAACATTTGGAGGTAGGACTTAGTGAAATCAGAAATCTGTGACATCAACCTAGAAAAAAAGTGATCCATCTTTTTCTTAGCACATGCCAGAATCTGCCCTCAGCTGTGGAGATTTGTTTAATTTAAGTAGGGTAAAAAAGAAAAATATCCTGTATTCCCTTTTTTAATTACTTTATAAATTATATCAATCAAAATTTCTACTTCCTGCTCTCTTCCCACATCCCTCCTCCTTCCGCACTCACTCTCAACCCCCCTCCAGTCCTAAGAGAGGGTAGGATACCCTGCCCTTAAGGCCAAGGCCCCCCCTCCATCCAGGCTTAGGAAGGTATGCATCCAAATAGAATAGGATCCTAAAAATCCAGTACATGCAGTAGAGACAAAGCCCAGTACCATTATCATTGGCTTCTCAGTCTACCCTAATTGTTAGCCACATTCCGATAGTCCAGTTTGATCTCATGCTCCTTCAGTCCCAGTCCATCTGGCTTTGGTGAGCTCCCATTAGATCAGACACACTGTCTAAGTGGGTGGACCAACCTCTTATGCTCTTGACTTCCTTGCTCATACTCTCCCTCCTTCTGCTCTACAACTGGACCTTGGGAACTTAGTCCAGTGCTCTGATGTGGGTCTCTGGCCCTGTGTTCTTTTAGAATGACCTATGAATCTGAGAGATCCCAAATGGGTAAGGACACTGTATAGTGGAGACTTGGCTGAGTACTCTCCCTTTTATAGACAGAAGAAGATACACAGGAACATCTCTGGATCTTTTTATTTCCCTCTGCATTTTACCAGAGCATCATCTGGGCAATTTACTCACATAGGGGTTAGTAACTGCATCCTCTTTCCCACTAGAAAGATGTGGAGGCATTCTTTTCTCTTGACTCTTATTGAAGTGAGAGGTGACTCCCATGGCCTTACTGAATTACAAATATTATCATGTCTGTGTAAAATCTAAAGTCCAAAACACTCTCAGAAGTCAATGTTTCCCACAATATAATAAAAAACAAAAGCAAAGCATGCAGTGGTGGTGCACGTCTTTAAGCCACACTCAGGAAGCAGAAACAGTCGATCTCTGTGAGTTCAAGGCCAACATTGTAGGGATAAGTCCCGCCCCTTAGGGGGCGTGTTCGCCTCAGGCTAAAGTTTGCCTATAAATTTGGCGAGCATGCTCCCAGCCCTCGTTTATGCTTTCCTGGTCTCTACGGGAATGGTGGTTCTGTAAGTCTATTCCTCTATTAAAGCTGTCTATATTTTGACAATCTGTCTGCATTCGCTTACGCCGTTACATTTTGGTGTCCAACGTCGGGCTATTTTGCCCCAGACTCAAGCGCGTAGCCTGCTAGCTAACACAGCACGCTTCCGGGTGTCATTTTCTTAGTTCATGACTCGGGCCCAAGGGCTGAGTCCGAGATACACTCGGCCTTCAGGCCCATAATATCCAGAGAGGCAGGCAGATCTCTGTGAGTTCGAGGCCAGCCAGGGGTGGTGGCATACGCCTTTAATCCCAGCACTCGGGAGGCAGAGACAAGCAGATCTCTGTGAGTTAGAGGCCAACCTGGTCTACAAGAGCTAGTTCCAAGACAGGTTCCAAACCACAGAGACCACCACTGGCAGGAACCAGTCATTGCAGGTAAAAGAAAAATTTTTTTTTATAATTACAATGTCTGAACACGTTACCATTCAAGAATTTAACAGTTTTTTTTAATTGTATCATGTGGGAGATTTTACAAGAGGTGTCTATCACCCCATCTCTATGGATCTTTCTGGGATTCGTAGTTTTCCTTGGCAATATATGGTTTGATAATAGAAATATGATAAAGTCTTTACGAGCAGAGGTTGCACACTTAAAAACAATTGGGGATGACAACAATCTTCTCAAGAATCAGTTTGAAGTTCTCCAGAGGAGAACAGAACTTTATTTAACATGACTCAATCAACTGAGCAAAATTTAAAAAAGGTACAGGCTGATATTAAGGAGAAATTTATTACTATGGAAGAGGGAGCAGCTGATTTGGATCGTAAGCTCCAGTCCCTTTCTGTAAGAACTGAATCATTAGTGGCTGATATTAAGGAGAAACTCATTACTATGGAAGAGGGAACAGCTGATCTGGGTTGTAAGCTTCAGTCCCTTTCTGTAGGAACTGAAATATTAACTGAGAGAATCAAAACTGCTGAATGTGACAATCGGATTTTGTCTAAAGCTTATGACAGATTGGCAGAAAGATTGTCAATACAAGAAGGCATGGTTTATGCCATAAAAATTGTGTCCAAAGATTAGATGTTATCTCTAATGGACAAACTTCATACTTTAGAATCCTCAATGAAGGCTTTGGAACATAATTCTGGACAGGAGATTCAGACATTGCAGAAGGCAATGGTGAATAGAATAGATTGAGGAATTTCTAAATTCTGATGAAGAAGAGCAAAAAGTAGAAAGGCAAATTTTAACTACATCTGTGGGTAAATCTCTCCGGGACAATTTCCACAAAGCTCTACCTACAGCTATACCTGCCTTTCCAGTAATAACAACAGAGAAGGTGATTGGTTCCAGAAACCCTAGGGTCATAAAGGAAGATGCATGGGAGCCTGTCCTTATGAATGACCTCAAAGAAATTAAACAGGCTGTCATGACTTTTGGGATGCACGTCTCTTTTGTTAAAGAATTGCTAAAATCTTGGGCATCCACAAGCAGAGATACACCATTGGACTGGCTCCAGCTGACCTCTGCAGTCCTTGAGAGTGGGACGCAATTAAAATGGAAATGCTTATTCAGGCAAGAGGCTAGACTTTTAGAACAGCAAGAAAAGGCGAAGGGAAGTGACATCTCCCTAGATAAAATTCTAGGTGAAGGACTCTTTTCCGATCCTCAGGAACAAGCTAATTTGGATGAAAGCATACTCTCCATATGCACTACAGCAGCCTTAAGGGCTTGGGACAGGGTACAAGACCCAGGACAGAGAATGGAATCATTTGTTACAATTAAACAAGGTCAGAGAGAACCCTTTAGTGATTTTTTACAAAGACTTACTAAGGCTGTACAAATAGGGATACCTGACCCTGACACAAGACGTATAATGATTGAGTCTTTGGCTTATGAAAATGCAAATGTGGAATGCAAAAAGATTTTGGGGCCTTTAAGGTTCAGATCAGCACCCTTGGAAGAATGGGTCTTGCATACACTGGATGTTGATACATTTGATTATGGCACTGAAGCATGGGTAGAGGAAGCAATTTCCAATGGTAAAAGGAGACATCAGAATACCAAATGTTTTAATTGTGGCAAAATGGGTCATATGAGAAGGAATTGTAAACAACGGACCTTCAGAAACAATAATAATGCGTCTTCTAGAAATAACAGAAATAGAAGGACTCAGCCTTCAGGTTTATGTAGAAGATGTGGAAAGGGTAGACATTGGACGAATGAGTGCAGATCTACAAGAGATAGACAAGGAAACCTGATACAGACGGGAAACGTGAGAGGGGGGGCCTCACAGGCCCCCATGGCAAACATGGTCCAGTCATTTCCAGTTTCTGCAGAGAACGTGCCTCGTCAGGACAATTAGGAAACCTCATGCCTACTGTTACAAACGATAATGAGCAGAAAGATGAGTTACGTGTGTTTTGGCAAACTTCTATAAATGATCAAAGACCTAAGCTGAGAGTGTGTGTAAATGGCATTTTTATTACTGGCCTGCTGGACACAGGTGCTGATGTAAGTATCATTACTCCAGAATCTTGGCATCCTTATTGGCCTCTTCAGAATGTAAATGTTCAGCTCCTGGGAATTGGAACCCTATCTCAAGTAAGGCAGAGCATGAGATGTGTTGAATGTATAGGGCCAGAAGGACAAATAGGAAAATTAAGGCCATATGTAGCCAATATTGTAATGAATTTATGGGGTCGTGACCTATTACAACAATGGAATACCTAAATTAACATTCCTGCTACTTCTAGAGCCTCTACTTCTGAGAATAATATTAAAAGATATTACAAACAGAGAAAACCAGCCATTCAGGCTGTACAAGAACAAGAAATTGATGTCCCTTCAGAGATACCAACAGCCTTGCCTCTAAAATCGTTGACTGAGAAACCAATATGGACAAAGCAATGGCCTCTAGCTGAGGAAAAGTTACAGGCTTTAGAACAGCTGGTACAAGAGCAATTAGATGCTGGACATATAGAAGAATCTACCAGCCCTTGGAATTCTCCTGTATTTGTGGTTAAGAAAAAATCAGGTAAATGGAGAATGGTGACAGATCTCAGAGCTATCAACAAGGTTATTCAACCTATGGGTCCTCTGCAATCTGGAATCCCTTTGCCCTCTTTATTACCAAAAGGATGGCCTCTTATAGTTATTGATTTAAAGGATTGTTTTTTCACCATACCTTTACAAAAAGAAGATAGAGAAAAATTTGCCTTCACGGTGCCTACTTACAACAATTCTCAACCTTCCAAGAGGTACCACTGGGCCGTCCTCCCCCAGGGTATGTTAAATAGCCCCTCCTTGTGCCAATATTTTGTGAACCAACCATTGCAAATAATACGCAAGAAATTTCCCAAATCTATAATATACCACTACATGGACGACATCTTGTTATCCGATTCAAACATGGATACCTTGAACAGACTGTTTGAAGAAATAAAGATACTTTTACCTAAATGGGGATTGCAAATTGCTCCTGAGAAGATACAGAAGGGAGATTCTGTTAATTATTTAGGTTATAAAATAGGTTTGCAAAAAATTAAGACACAAAAGGCACAAATTAGGAGAGATCGCCTACGGACTCTTAATGACTTTCAAAGACTGTTAGGAGACATTTCCAGTCTACGACCAGCTGTTGGGATAACACCTGATCTAATAATTCATTTGAACAAAACCTTGGAAGGTGATAAAGACTTAAACAGTCCCAGAGAATTAACAGCTGAAGCAGAAAAGGAACTGACAATAATTGAGGAAAAATTACAACAGGCACATGTGGACAGGGTGAATCCAGAGCTCGATTGTATTCTCGTCATATTACCATCCAAAATTTCTCCTACAGGAATTTTAATGCAGAGAGATGATATTATCTTGGAATGGATCTTTTTACCACATAAACCAAGTAAAAAACTGAAAACTTATGTGGAAAAAGTCTCTGAGTTAATTATAAAAGGCAAGCTGAGACTTCGTCAACTAGCAGGCATAGACCCAGCAGAAATTATAGTGCCTTTCACTGCTGATGAACTAAAGAAATTATGGGAAGATAATGAAACATGGCAAAGAGCTTGTGCTAATTTTTTGGGAGACATTAATAACAACTATCCAAAAAGCAAGAGGCTTAACTTCATAAAGAGAACTTCTTGGATCCTTCCTCGAATCGTCCGTGATGCTCCAATAACTGGAGCCCGTACATTCTATACTGATGCCAATAAAACAGGGAAGGCAGGTTACAAATCGGAAGACTTGGGTAAGGTGGAACAAAGTCCTTATGATTCTGTCCAGAAGGCAGAATTATATGCCATTCTTATGGTGCTAAGGGATTTTAGAGAACCTATTAATATAGTTACTGATTCACAATACGCAGAAAGAGTTATTTTACATATTGAAACTGCTGAATTTATACCTGATGATACAGAACTAACCTCATTGTTTATCCAGGTTCAAGATTTGATCAGGAACAGGCTTTGCCCTATGTACATAACACACATCCGATCCCATACGGGTCTGCCAGGTCCTCTAGCACAAGGTAATGCAGAAATTGATCAATTATTGATTGGTAGTGTGCTACAAGCCTCTGAATTTCATAAAAAACATCATGTTAATAGCAAAGGTTTGAAGAAAGAGTTTTCTATCACATGGCAACAAGCTAAGGAGATTGTAAAGAAATGCCCTACTTGCTCTTTCTATAACCAAACGCCACTGCCTGCAGGGGCTAATCCAAAGGGCACCCAAAGGAATGAAATCTGGCAGATGGATGTGTTTCACTTTGCAGAATTTGGCAAATTGAAGTATGTTCACCACACCATTGACACTTATTCAGGCTTTCAGTGGGCAACTGCTTTAAGTTCAGAAAAAGCTGATTCAGTAATCACTCATTTATTAGAAGTCATGGCTATCATGGGTATACCTACACAAATAAAGACAGATAATGGTCCTGCTTATGCCTCTAGGAAAATGAAACGGTTTTTTGACTATTACAATATCAAGCATGTTACAGGTATACCATACAATCCTACAGGTCAAGCAGTCATAGAAAGATCAAATCGAACTATAAAGGATATGTTGAATAAACAGAAAGGGGTGGAAAACACCCCCAGAAATAGGTTACATAATGCTTTGTTAACCTTGAATTTTCTTAACGCTAATGAGAAGGGGACAACGGCTGCAGAAAGACATTGGATAATGGAAAAGTCTACTGAACTAAATCAACCAGTTTATTTCAAGGATGTGCTGACCTCACAATGGAAGCCAGGAGATGTGCTGCGTTGGGGAAGGGGTTTTGCTCTTATCTCCACAGGTGAGGAACAATTGTGGATACCGTCAAAATTAATAAAGGTTCGGTATGAAGAAGAAAAGCCATTTGGAAAAGATAAATAACAATTCATTCACAAGGATGGCGAGCATACTGATGGTAAGGAATTCAGGTAGGTTGGGGGCAGGGTTTTTTTTTTTTTTTATCTCCACAGGAAAATACTGATCTTCAAAGAATTTAAGGGACCCTGAATATTTAATAACTGATGGATGGAAAATAGTTACGACCCACTAAGACTCAACAGTAACATGAGTAAGTATTGATTATATATATATTTTCTTTTTTCTCTTTGAACGCTTCTTTATAAATATGTAGAGCTGGTTTTGGAGTTGGACTATGGCTCAGTCCCTCTTCAATTCCAAGCCTGTTGATAAGAGATATCTCAGAGTTTCTGTCTCAGATCAGGAGCCATGAAATGGGACAGAATGAGGATAATTATATACTTGATAAACTTTCTTTGCTTTTCCTCATATCTGTGTCTTTCTTTATATGTCAGAATATGTCCTTGTTGTTAATGTTTAAATTTCCCATAACAAGCAACAAATTTCCCTACAGTAATTTTTGAAGTTTCCAGGATGAAGATGGGGCCCCACAACATCAACTCAACCTGGTTTTTATGACGTCATGAATATTTTTTTTCTTTTTCTCTTTTTTACGCGCTAATATGAGACCTGTTTTTTGGTACCAACTGCACAAGACAATTTCGAATGGTGCACATTTTTGACAACACTCTGGCCGGACCTTCTCAAAGTGCTCAGGGACTAGTTATAATTTTCTTAGGTCAAAGGTTAATTTGGGAATTTTACCATCATTTGCTTTCACAGGAGCCCCTAAGGAGAACATCGCCCCCATGTCAGCTTGAAGCAATCTTAGAGGACGACGTCCCCTCTCCCAACAGAGTTTGCCCTCAGGGTTAGGGACATCTTTTAGTGGTTGGTTTGGGGTTGAGGGGATGGGGAGATGTTTTATGGAATTAGGGGTATGTTCAAAAAAAAAAAAAGGGGGGGGATTAACTGGTTTGATGGGATGATTGGTATTTGTGAGTTACTGTTTTTAGAAAATTGTATTGGTACTGTTTTCTGTATATTGACATATTGAATATTGAATGTGAGTGTTCCTACCTCTATTTTTGTATAAGAATATGCTTATATTGTATTGATACATCTACCATATCACAATGTACATTTCTACCTCTGATACTATTTATGTAATAACATTGTTTACATTTGATATGTAATGACATTGTTTACAGATGAAGATCATTGTCTTCATATATTGCACAGTTGTTTATTGTTTTAGTCTTTAAGTTAGATAGATATTGAGAATTATATAGATTAATAGTCATCTAAGTTTGTCATTTGTAATTAGACTAATCAGGTTCTTTAGATATATAGAGATTATACTCAGTATAGATAGATAATCTTCAACCTCTTTGGAGAGCTGTAGAATATGGCCTTTAATATAACTCAGAGTTTCGTGATAGTGAGACACAATTGCTCCTGGCAACACCGCTCTATTCCCGAGAGAACGTTGAGCACCAAAGACACTCCACTGGGAGCTTGTCTTCTTGGCAGAACTGGCCTTTGGGTTAAGAAAAGCCCATACCTCAACCACTGACAAAGATACAGAGCGTGCATCAATGGATACAACAGGACTGTCATATCCTGCCAAGACAGGGTAAGATAGTTTTGAAAAATTCATTGCATTTGTTAATGGTATGTCAGTTATGTTAGGCCTTAGCCAAAGTTGGTTGACTCAACATTGCAAACGAGACTTTGGGTGATTGCCCAGGTAGTCAGTTGTCTCTGTCAATTGTTACACATTTTGGATATATCTCGTTTGTTAAGTAATATTTATTCCCTTCTCGGATATTCCCTTCTCGGATCTTTGATGGAGTTGAAGATTATATAATTGTAGTTACTCTCTACATTATTTAGACTCCTTGAGATAGAATGTTTAGCAAAACTTTTGATTCTCAATATTGTTATATTTATTATTTGTCATTATTGTATATAGTTGTATTTGGTTTAGTTCTGTCTTTTAGACAAAACGGGGAGATGTAGGGATAAGTCCCACCCCTTAGGGGGCGTGTTTGCCTCAGGCTAAAGTTTGCCTATAAATTTGGCGAGCATGCTCCCAGCGCTGGCTTCTGCTTTCCTGGTCTCCGCGAGAACGGTGGTTCTGTAAGTCTATTCCTCCATTAAAGCTGTCTATATTTTGACAATCTGCCTGCATTTGCTTACGCCGTTACACAACCTAGTCTACAAGAGCTAATTCCAGGCCATGCACCAAAGCTATATATAAACCCTGTATTGAAAACTGAAAAAAAAAAAAAACCAAAATTTAAAAACAAAAAGCAGAACTGCTTAGTGCTTAATGAGGTAGAAAAGGAATCAGTTCCTTGTGAACCTTATTTACCTTGCTATTTGGCTGGAGTGGCTGTACAAGCCTTTGCCCTGGTTCTCAAGGTTGAAATCATGTTCCAGCCTGCTCAATCAGAGCACAAGCTTCTACTCTCCACACTTTCAGCAGAGATAACTGAATTTCCCATCATACAGTTGTGAATGACTATCCTTTAGTGTTGAAAGGACATTTTAGTACCACATGGGCCATGGCTATTAACAAGTCCTTTTCTGAGATTTTCAGTCATTTAGAGGACCTATAGATAGGTCATCTCCAATTCTAGTTGAAGAACCCAAGGCATGTAACTGGTGTGCTGGCAATTGTTTAGGGAATACCCAAGGTCATCCTCTGACATGGAAAAGAAATTAATGACTAGGAAAAAGAGATGAAGTTGTAGAGATAGGGACAGTGACAGCTTTATGCGTTTAAAATTAGAGAAGGCTAAATGTCTGTTAAACAGATTCTAGCTTTGGTAATGTACAGGGCCTCTGATTGTCCCTTTTCCCAGACTGCTTCTGTGTTGATGGCCAACCCTGTGATTTCTAGCTGTTTTCTCTTGAAGACTTTTCAAGGATGAAGACATGACAGTTGTAGGAAGCCTGCTTTTCCTTTCTTGTCTAACCATGTTCTTTTAACCTTACTTCAATACCTTCCCTGGAAGAAGTAGTTGCATCCACAAATACTTTGCATGGATGTGTTTTTGCCCATTAGAGGACAGCGATAGGCTATTCTTCAGAGGACAATGCTGTTGGCAGGAAAAAGTTATTTAGAAATCACTACTGTCCTCCATAAACTTGCACATGTAGTGATATCATTGGACAACATTTCCCAAACACACTTCTGTGGTTTACTTCCTGTTCTTTGATTCCATTCAATACATAAGTAGCCAACTCATAGCTCTGTTACATATTTCCTCCTTTATCCTGATGCAGTCATTGTTATGAGAAATATATTTCTATGAACAAAAAATTTTAATAATTTCATGGACATTACCTACTTAGTATAGAAAAGAAAGACTCAGAAACTAAACATTTTCAAGTTCGGCAACTTAGTCTCAGCTTACAAAATTTGATGTTGTTTTTTGTTGTAAGATTGTTAAAACTCTGCAAATTTTCAACTGTTAGACTAGGGATTCTCTTACAATTTATGTTGACTATTTCAACCGCTATTATTCACTGTTTCATTGGACCTAATTGTGAACAGCAGATTGTAGGCTATTTATAAATCGACTGTGTGTGCACTCGTGTGTGTGTGTGGTAAGAAGTGTGTCTGGGTACCTGAGGAGGCCAGAGGAAGCATCTGATCTCTTAGAGCCTGAATTGCAGGAGGATGTGAGCTGTCTGACATGGTTGCTAGGAATCAAAATCACTTCTTCTACAGGAACAACAAGCACACTAATAGCAGGCATTGCCAAAATCCACTCTAAACGACAATACTATATAAATTTGTATGGAGAAATAGAAAAAAAAAACAGAAAAAAATTGTGCCTCTCTAGGCATTGATTCTCTATGCAAAATAAAGTAGTTTATACACTGCCTCAATTGACACATACAGAATTACATTAGTGGATAATTTACTTTCCACTCAGAGTCCAGATAGAGATATGTGGCTTCCAAAATTGTCTCACAATTGGTAGGAGACGATCTAGCAGACATTCACCTGATGGAAGAACATGGTTGCTTTGGGGAGAGTTGTTTCCCTGGTTTCTGATGTTTTTTCTTCACTTTAAGGTTTTTCTATTCTGCCACTTGGTGGAGCCCAAGTCCTCTGCATGTGTAGTCTCTCAACTTCTCTGTGACTCCCAATCTGATGTAAAAGGAGGGGCCTGTACATCCCAAGGAAGAGGGATATTTGCATGGAGTCAGCTTGCACACACAGAGCCAGATAAAAAGGGGCACCCAGCTCTAGTCAGTTCATTGAACTCAGCAAGAAGAATCTGGGTGTCTTCACCATGGCTTGGACTCCAATACTGTTCATTTTCCTTCATCAATTAACAGGTCAGTGGACTTTAATAATTATGGGAGAGTAAATGTTGCTTGAAATGTTCTTCCTTGTAAATGAGATTTTCTTGTCCTTACTAATTTTTATTATCTTCCTTTTACAGGGACATGTGCCCAGTTTGTGCTAACTCAGCCAAACTCTGTGTCTGGGTCTCTTGGGAGCACAGTCACCATCTCCTGCAAGCGCAGCAGTGGTAACATTGGAGGCAGCTATGTGCACTGGTACCAGCAGCACATTGGAAGTCCTCCCACCAATGTGATCTATAAGGACAATCAAAGACCATCTGGGATTCCTGATCGGTTCTCTGGCTCCATTGACAGATCCTCCAACTCAGCCTCACTGACCATCACTGCTCTGCAGATTGAGGATGAGGCTGACTACTTTTGCCAGTCTTATGATAGTGGCTATAGCCACAGTGATGAGAATAATGGGGAAGTAAGACCAAAACTCCCCAGAGTACCAGCTGTGAAATCACTTGTAAAAAAGACCATTGTTTTTTCATGTTTCCTACAAAATACTGGTATTGGGAGTGCCAAATCATAATTTTCTCTTGGTTCAGAATAACATTCTACTTTCTCCTCCCTATGTGAATGACTTTGCTCTATATACATATATGCTTGCACTATGAGATAGAAATGTTTGAAATTAGGAATTTTTAATGGAAATACTACTGACATTTTATGTCTGAGACTTCCTTTCATGTTTGATGTGTTCAGCACCATCTGTGAACATGAGTCACATGCATATTTTAAAATTTTCCCTCCATTACAACATCACTAAGTCTCTGTATTGCTAAATATATCTGTAACATGGAAAATGCCACACTTGGTGTATACTTTTGAAATTGGAGTGGCGGAGCTGTGTCCCCAGCACCCCGGCCGCCTGCTAGTTCATGCCCGAAATAACAACACACAAATTGTATTCTTTTAAACACTGCTTGCCCATTATATCTAGCCTTTTCTCAGCTAACTCTCGCACCTGGACTAGCCCATTTCTAATAATGTGTGTAAGCACCCCAAGGTGTGCTTATGGGGAAGATTCTAGCCTACATCCATCCTGGGTCGGAGATGCCTGGGAGAGCGGAGCCTGGCGTCTCTGCTCCAGAGAGCAGAGCTATCTCGGGTCTGTCTGAGGAGTCTTACCTCACTTCCTCTTCCTCCTGTTTACTCCTCCCACCTATGTTTTAACCTATCAGGGCAAGCAGTTTCTTTATTTAATTAACCAATGAAATCAACAGATTGATATATGACACTCCCACATCACTTCCCCTTTTTCTGTTTAAAAAAAAAGGCTTTACCTTTAACAGAGCAAAATTACATATAACAAAACAGTAAAAATTACAATAATCTATATCATAACTAAGGAAAACTATAACTATAGCTAACTATTCTTAACTCCATCAAAGAGCAATATTACCTAAGCAAACAAGAAATAAGCAACTTTCAAACTCTAGAAATTACAGAGACATCTCGCTGCCTGGACAGTCGCCCAAAGTTCCTCTGTACTGTTGGGGCATCCATCTTCGGCCTACAGGCCCATAGTTTCCAGCAGACATTTCCATAAAGCAGGAAATTTCAAACGCAGTCACTGTCTGCTTGTCCTGAAGAATGTCTTGCAGACTCTTTCATGAATCAGGAACCCCAAAAGGTCATCTCACCTTTAGGCAACTTCAGCAGTCCTCTCTCTGTGGGTCCTTTGTGTCAAGTTTATGCAACAGTCCAGGCAAGAGCAGTTTCTTGCCCAAATGGCTATCAAACTCCATAAGGATCCTCTTCGATGCCCATCTTCCTCTTGAAGTAGATTGGTGCTGCCAGTAGCAGAGTGTCTCATTGTCATGAAAAGTCCTAAGGTATTAAAACATTTAATAGCATATTCCGTAGTCTTTGAAAAATATGAAGAATGTCGATCTAACTGAAATATATATCTATATATCTAGAAAATCTAACTAACATAACTATAAACTTGACTATTATGATTATCTATTAACAACCTATATACATTACATTTTTTAAAAGAACTACACAATCATAATACCTTAGTCAAGATCAGAAACACATACACATATAACAAAATTGACCTTAAAATCCATACCAATGCAAATTATTTATATCTATATCATATCCTCCTTTAAATGTAAAAGAACATTCATAAACCATATTTGGGAACAAGGGCACAGTTTTTTTCTCTCCAAACTGCTTCCTGCTGAATGGGGGCGTCGTTAATTACGTCTTTCATGGTATAACCTGTGTGCTAGTTTCATCTTAGTTGGCAGGTGAGTGAAGCAATTTTCTTAAGGTATTCACAGCAACCGTTCAGGAAGGTGTGGTCCATCATACCATATCGGAATAGAAGAAATGAACAGGGTCTCATCCTCTGTGAAAACAAAAAAAGAAACTCCTTTCCAAAGTATCATGTCCTTAGATCCAAATTTCAAAGCCAAGGCATTTTGAAAATATCTATGTTGGATTAGTTCAGTAGCATTTATAAACAAATATCTTTTGGCAGCTGTTGCTTCTTCCTCAGCATTCAAACAATTCAAAGAGAGCATAATAGTATACAGTATCAAGATTCTCTGTGTATTTTCCATCTTTGTATGCTTTATTTTAACCTCTATTTTGTTTATTTTTACTTTTATTTTATATTCTCTGTATCTCTTTGACCTGGGATAACTCTGTAGACCAGGCTCTCCTTGAACTCTCAGAGATCCGCCTGTCTCTGCCTCACGGGCATTGGGATTAAAGGTGTATGCTACTACACCTTGAACTCACAGAGATCTGTTTGTCTCTGCCTTCTAGGCACTGGGATTAAAGGCCTGTGCTACCACACCTTGAAGTCACAGAGGTCAATCTCCCTCTGCCTTCCAAGCATTGGGATTAAAGGCGTGTACTACCACACACAACTTCTCTTTTTCTTACTTTTTTTTTTACTTTAAGAATTTTAAATTTTAGTCTGCATATTATTTTCAACACACTGTAAATCATTTAAAATTTTCTTTGTCTTTGAATCTCTCTTTACTATATATATCTCTTTTTCTGAACACATAAGTCTTTAATTTACTGAGCAATATGAGTAGGATCAAAGCCGTGGCTTTGCCAGGTAGATCCAGTCCATTCCTTAGCTTTCCAGCCTCATGGCAGAGATACAGGCTGTAGCCATGTTTATAGCCACAATTCTATGGTGTTTCAAGGTCCCTGCCAGCCAGCGAGCTACAACAGACAACAGTCAATTCCTCTCTCGGTAGTTGGCCCTTCTGCCTCAGTCAGAGTTTGCCCTGGCAGGATGGCCCAGAAAGCCGGCATTTTTAAACAGCACAGCTTTTTTCCTGCTACGGCTGAAAACCGAAAAGCATGCGTTCAGCTTTTTGTCAACACCATTTAAGTGTTTCATGACAGGAACTCTTAATGAGCTGCAGGGTTTTGCAGCTAAAGCTGAGTCAGGAAGCCTCTCTTAGATGAGAGCGCTTGCTTGCCTACTACTGCCTGTTTTATGATCGTGGTTTTAGACACAGTGATGAGAATTATGGGGAAGTAAGACAAAAACTCCTTAGAGAACCACCTGTGAAGTCACTTGTAAAAAGGACTATTGTTATTTCATGTCTCCTACAAAAGGAACTCTATTGGGATTGACAAATCATAATCTCCTCTAGGTTCAGTGCATTAATTCTACTTTCTCCTCTCTCATTTGGATGTCTGTGTTCTTTAGATATTTATGGTTGATCCATGAAGTAAAAATGGTTGAAAACAGGAATTCTGGAGGGCAATACTACTGACATTTTGGTTAGAGACTTCCTCACATGTGTGATGTGTTTATCACCATCTGTGACCGTGAGTCACCTGCATATTTCCATGTTTTCCCTCCATTGTGACATCACTAACTCTCTGTATTGCCAAATGTATCTATAACATGGGGAATCCCACACTTGGGTGTAGCTCCTCTTTCAAGAAGTTTTTCTAATCTGTTAAGGAACCTCTACCTTTGACTCTCTCTTATTTCATTAAGGCATAAGAATGAGGTTTGATCTCCCTGAAATTCTGTCCCCAATTGTTAGGCAAAATAGCAGTATTGAATTCAACTGACTGTTCTGATGATATAGTCATATTATAATGAAGAGAAAGTCTGTGTTATTCAACTCTGTTAATGACTCAACCAAGATCTATAATGTATTTTTAAGGGAAAACCTAGTGCACATGTAAATGTTAAAAACTTCATACAATGGACACGCAAGTGTAATAGAGCCTATTCCATTTTATTAATGATTCTTTATCTGTAAAGCTCTGAAGAGCATGGCTCTCGAATAGTAAAAGGTGACAATTCAAGATCAGTGAAGAGCCAGAGAAAACCAAAAACAGTGTATTAATAATAGTTTTGTCTATGGGTAGTATGGCTCAAGCCTTTAATCCAAGCACCTGCAAGGCAGAGGGAGAGGGAATCTTTGTGAGTTCATGACCAGCCTGGTCTTTAGAGTAAGTTCCAGGACAGCAAGGGCTATGCAGGAAACCTCTTCTCAACAAACCATATATATGTATGGTTTGATATATGTTATATCAAACCATATATATATATATGAACTGCTTTGGGCCTATAGAAGAGCTAGGCAAGGAAAACAAAACTGAATCCTGGGAGAAAGGAGTCAGAGTCAGGGAGAAGCCATGGAGCTGCTGCTGGAGACAGATGTGCTGAAACTTTGCTGGTAGGCCAGGACCTTATAGTGATGCACAGATTAATGGAGATCGGTTAAGAAAGTAACCCATTAAGAAGTAATTAAGAAGGTATGTTGTGATAGGAGCAGCGAGGCTGTGTCCCTGGCACGTAGCCGCTCGCATGGCTAGGTTATGTCCTGAAATAATTACATGGAAACTGTATTTTTTTAAACACTGCCTGGCCCGTTATCTGTAGCCTCTTATTGGCTACCTCTTACATATTTTTCTAACCCATTTCTAATATTCTGTGTAGCCCACGAGGTGGCTTACCAGAGAGGATCTTAACCTGCGTCTGTCTGGAGTGGGAGAACCATGGCGACTCCTCGACTCAGCTTCTTTTTCCCAGCATTCTCTTCTGTTTACTCCACCTACCTAATTTTCTGTCCTATGAGGGCTGAGGCAGTTTCTTTATTATTAACCAATGAAAGCAACAGATAAGATACAAGACCCACCTCCATCAAAGGTAGAGCTAATGGGCCAATCAATGAATCAATTAATATAGGTTTCTGTATGTTTATTTCAGTTTTGGGAAGCTGGAACAAACAAGTGTCCTCCTTACTACAAATTGGTACCCAGATGGCCAACTAAAATCCACTTAAAAACCCAAGAGAGCTTAGAAAGGAATTCTAGACACAGAGTTTAATATAGCTTCCTGCTGTTTGCTGGTGGTATGCCACAGCTCCTTTAGGAGAGGTTTTCCTGAATCAGGTAGCAGGAAAAAAACTGCACTGCTTTGAAATATCAGCTTTCTGGGCCATGCTGCCAGTGCGACCTCTGGCTCTTTTAGGAGACTGAGCATTTTAATGGGGTTTGTGAGCAACGTGCTACAGCTTGCTTGGTAAGAACATGGACCAGCTG